AGAAAACTGCCTGGTAGAAGACCAAGAAAGGCAAGAGGCCAGTGTCAAAAGAGAAAAGTGGAGGTGGGCCAAGATTCAATGGAATTAGGAATATCTGCAAAAATTGAACAACTGAGAAAAGGAGCTTCTCTGAGATCTCTAAGGGCTGAAGAAGGAAGTCAAACTCCTCTCAAGCAAGATATCTCTCCCCAAAAGATCCCAGCAACAAACCAGCCAAGAGACCCAAGAAGAGAGTAGAAACCAATAACCTTACCTAAGTAGAAGTCAATAAATGACTAACATCCTCTGAAAATTGAGCAGGAGATCTGTGATAGGTCTCAGACAACAGCTGAAAAGAAGATAAAAAATGCAAAACCATTGTAAGGGACAAACAAATTTGGGAAAACTGAGGTTAAGATAAACAGTGACATCAGGCCTAGAACCCCAAATAGGAAGAAGAGGATCTAACCTCTGAGAATCTAAATAAAGGTTCTTCAAGCGATGGAAAGCTAAAGCATGCTGATTCGATAAATGAAGAGAACAAGGCATGGCAGCACCCTCTTTCAATTGATCAGAAACTCTCCAAGCATGCACAGTAATATCTGGCGAAGGCGAAAGACCAGGTAATTAACTGAATGACTTTCTCCCAATAAAGGAGAAGAGTCATATGCTACAGGAGATATGCTAAAGACATTACCAGCTTGATGTACTAGTTGCAAAAACGATGTAGGAGGCAGGATGTCTGTTCGAGGCTCGTGAGTAGGTGCTGAGGAAAGGAAGGTTCCAGAAAAATAGTCCAAATTCTCACCAGTCTGCCTTTGATCCCCACAAGCTCAGCCTCTAAGCTGACAGTAGAAAAAACATCAGACCTGATGTAAGATCCACCTCTCTGAAGATTTCATTAGTTTTTAGTGAACACTAGACCACTGTGATCCGTTGGGTCACCCACTATTCAGAGGTTATGAAGAATTCAAGTTAATTTCAATATTGCACCAAAATGAAGGTTTATTTTGAGATAATTTAATTAAATATTACAATCCATTCATAATTCAAGAAAAGTTATTTGATTGTTGATCAGGAGTAAAAGAAAAGACCATTTCATTTAAAAAAAAAAGTGAGCGTGAACGGTAGTGTGATGAAAAAATACTGATGCTAGAAATGTTTATAAAAGTAACCCATGGTCCAATTTTAACGAAACTTGATTTATTCTGTTTCTATTCTCATTTCGGGGGGGGAGGGGGGGGGTACTGTATTCTTACAAATATGGCACTATCGTGCACCGCTTTTGCTGTATTTAATTACAGACAAGCAAACAAAACAAACAATCTCCGAGTGTTAGTAGTATATAGATTACCAGT